GGCCCCTGTTCGTAACTGAAAATGATAGAGGCACGTTTCGAACAGGTAAATATGATAGACTTCAACGGAACGGATTAGCTGTCATAGAAAGAAAGCACACGACATACGTGCCGGGCGGAGGATTGAGCGGATGAACAACCGAGCTCGTCGATCATTGGCTTCGAGACAAGCCACAGCAAATATTGAGAGATTACAGTTACTATGTATATCAGACCTCTACAACCGAATACAACATACCTCCACAAGGCAGATCGGACATAGCCTCATACGGCCAGATGCATGATGAGATCCGGCAATTCCAGCTGCTGCGATAACGCGAGAACAACTGCACCTGGCAGTGGACAGGGACAGGCATTTTATATGCAGGTTGCGTCCGTGTCCTCAACATGATCTGATCTTGGACAGGGGAGCCAGCGAATCATTCTTTGAGGCTGCAGCACACAATTGAGATGTGATAGGATGTCACTACGGAAGACCTTACATTGCTTTTGTCTCTTGTCACTTATCATTCTTTCACGAGAGTTCGCGATCGATATTTACAATTCCGAAACTAGCACAACGGTTTAGTTAGTCTAGCTGCCACCAACGTGTTCAACGTCGACTTGTGGGGTGGGTTTTGTGTTTTGTGTAAGGTTAATCAGTTATCACATTCTACTTCTTGATAAACCATTGTTGAATGTTCAAGGTAAGCAATTAAATCCTTTATATAATCACTGAGAGTCATCTACAATATGGCCATACTATTGTTAATCTGTAAAGTCATCGCAGACCAGAGCGACTTCCTACGAAGTCGATGGCAACCAGTTGGTCTCGAACACAACTGTGGCGTCTCAGCTCTCTTGGAGGTGAACAGCTGGTCAAGGGGTTCGGAAGTAATAACGATCTGCCTTAAAACTATTGTCGAGTCATGTCTTTGCAGGTACCGTGTTGGGGTGGTCGGCTGTATGACTGCATATGCATCCCCCTAAACTTTTATCTAGATCCTGGCGCCCATACTACCGGGACTGAACAAGACATCCAGTCACGATGCCTGGGCTCAGTTGCCTCATCTCTAACCCGTCATTATGAATGCCCAATCTCATCTCGGGCTGCATTACATCGTACGTTGACAGTCAAACCTGCACGATGTCTCACTCTGGCGCGGGAAGTCCTACATGCACACACCTAGCCGTAGCAGTCCATAAGTCGATACCACAATGTATCTTGGCGCAATACCAGGGGGGCCTGGTCATTATACCCGTTGTCAGGTCTGAGAGCAGTATGTATATGTGGTCTATTATCTCTCTTCTCTCAGTCACCTTGTGTACTACAGTAGGTTCCAGGCATGCTCTTACTGCCACACTATCCCTGAACAAGAACGTTCTCGATCGAAGAAATACGATAGATCCGTTCGAGTCCTCTTACCAGTCGGCATATGCGCATTCGAATCTTGATTTATGCAGGTGTCTCATCTGTCCATCAAGCCACTCATGATTGAGCTGAGAGGTGACAGAGCCTGGGATGGAAGGAATCGCTGTGAGGATCCAGGACCTGATAACTATATAACTTGAAGAGTTGAACCGCTCTTCTGACTGCTTGCTATCAAGGTCCGATCTCCATTGTGTTCTCTGCGTCTCTTGCTCCCTCCTATTCGCCATTTTGGGCTTTGAGAAGCGGTGACCCGAGTCATTTACTCGAACGTATTTCTTCTCATTCTTGTGTTTTACCTCGACAACAGCACCGCAGTGTGTTTCTGCCAGTCATGGCTTCCCAGAATCCACAAACTCCAACAAACAGCACAGAAAAGCGGAAGCCGTTAGTCAAAATATATTACACAATGTCTCATACTGACATTCTATAGTGCCAAATGTCGCGGCTTGATGCTGGCGCCGTACATCTATGACACCAATTCTGTCCAGGAGCATCTCCTATGCAGAGCCGAAGCCACAAACACTGCGCCAGAATCAGCCAAAAACGTGTCTGAAATTGCGAGACAGGAGAACTATGGAGGCTTTGAAGTCCAAGATCTGGATTCTATGATGCAAGAACCTTCTTCCATGAAGAGTCGACTTTGAGCTCCTATAGTCGCGGTATATACTAGACCTCCTAAGACTGTTTGACGGCTTTTACAGCCTGTTCTCTATTTTTTCAGTCATAAAAATGGATTAAGCTGGGATATGACCTTGGTGTATTACTATTGGGCTATTCTTTATTGCGATTCCACATCATATATGTCGTAGTTCCTAGTATAAATCTTACACACTTCTGTCATGGCCGCCAACCCCTGAACACCATGCGAAGATTTGTAGCTCTCCAAGAAAAAGTATCACTCGAACCCCAACTAAATTCTTGAGACCTTCCGTATCCGTCTTCCACTTAACCAAAGGCCGCCTAATCGCAGCGCCATGAACCGGGATATGACCGGAAGAGCCCCGGAATCCCCGCTTTTCCCGAATCACACGGAGTTGTAGGTGTACCCACATCTCGGCCCGGATGCTCGGGAGTCATTGGTTCAAGACTATGGTCTGTAAGCGCCCGCTCTATGTTCTCTGGGGTCCCGTCACGGAGCTCTCCCAATCTTGCTCCGCTTCCCCAGTTCCCCCGACTTTCTCAGTATTCGAGCTGACCAAGTTGACCTAGAGTTGACTTGCTACAGCCCCGGAGCACTGACTCCAGGGCTATAAAGCCTTCCCCTCTTCTCCCAGGTTCCCTTTCTGTACTTCCCTCCGATATATATTTATGCCCTGAAACTACTAGTTCATGTCATGCTTGGGTCCGACACCCCTTTTCTTGAAGTTCCTTGAAAGGCTTTGAACCCATTTTCCCAGATACCCTCCTGAATTTTCCCTCCCATCACTTCTTCATTCCCTTTCCCAAGTCAAGAACCCTCAATCTATGAGCAATGCCTTCGAAAGATATTGATTTTCAAGTCCCTGCTTTGGAAACTCGAGACGAGCAAGTAACACTCAGCAATCACCAGTCACCAGGTAACTGACTTGTTGCATCCAGGCCTCTAGAAGATGTTTGCATGCTCAACAGATTCATTTACGATGTTTCTTCCCTTCAAGAGCGATTACTTCGGTTTCCTGTGGTGAAGAATCCTGGTGTTGTGCTAGCGACGGGCTCAGCCGAAAGGATGAAGGCGGCTGACCCCCCGGAGGATAAGGGCAAGCTTTGACACAGTGGCTCCCTGTCTAGACGACAACAGGTCTCTACAATGCCATGGTTTTACTTCATCTTAGATACACAGATCACATTGTTTCCTTTGCCACAAGAGCTATGGGCCTTCTGGACCTAGCATCATGGGTGTACATGACATGACATCTTATTGGGCGTTTCTTCTTCTGTTCTGCTAAACAAACGATGATATACTGCAATACAATGACTAAGATATTTGGTTCGCTGTCTATTTCTTGTTATACGATGTTGCCACAACCTGTAAGCTACGCACAAGTTACTCAACATGGCAGGTCGTATGCCTCCCTCAGACATATCCCTACAACATTTGGAAATCAGTCTTGATGAATCTGAAACTTACCAAGACTCACAGACATGTCGATCGGTTCTCGAATTCGTGTTTGTTATTACTAGTAGACTCACTAATACTCATATGGCGTACGCAACAGGGTTGTTCTCCAGCTGAATCCAAGCTCAAGGCACGGCCCTTCCATTCCACGTGGCTATGCGCGGCATGTAAGATCTGCCGGGGTTCAAAACATAAAGGGGGGATGATTCTCGAGATATCGTTGGTTAGAACGAGTCATTAATTATCCTTATATATGCTAATCTTAACGAATTGGGATTGGGGTGCGTCTGTCTCAAGTGTCAGCAACCACAAGTGGATATCTTTGGAGCCGGATCGCATCCGTAGGCTAAGGATATCTTTGGAGAAGGGCAAGCATATGGGAGATCAACTGAAAATACGCCCGGCTCTTTACGGCCGCGTCCTTATGTCTAGATGATATCTTCTGTTATCATGCTTGCGTCAATGGCTGTGAATAGGACACACCGCTCTGTATCGGGATACTTGAATGGGTGGCCTCAAACAAGGCCGAGCCTCCCCACGAGGCTGACTCCTTTGGAAATTTCCCCGAAGAGCCTCATGACCTGAATGGCCAAGTTGTCTCTTCTCTCTGCTGTCCCAGCTGTCAATCAACTAAGCGATGCAAAGCATGCAGAATCGTGTATGCATCAAAGGATCGATGCAGAAAAATCAGATACGGCACTTGCCTACAGGAATGTAACCCCCTTTCGAATACATAATGCATCATTGACAAGAGGTTACCCATTCAGATGATTGATGCAAGCTCACCGCTTCTCTGTCGTATGCAGCAGGCTGAAAACGAAAGTGCACATTGGGAGGGTGGGTTCGTAATTATTGGCCTGTGTTGGTTCTGTTCCTGTCCCAACCACTTCTTGCCACAGATCAATAATACACAACGTGAAAAGGATACCGGCTCTGTAGATAAATGAGACATTCTGGAGCCAAATACCTGGTTAGGTAGTCTTCACACCACTACAAGTTGATGCAGATGTCAAATTGGCATCAACTTCGAGACCGCTTCTTCGGTTGTGGCAACAGACCAAGGTTTCGAGTCCTATTCTGTCTCCTTGCGCCGCCTGCACTTTCTCGTGTCTGGCTCATAATAGGATCGCTGGTGTAGAAAGGCTGTGTTTGGAAATGCGGGCGTTTCGGTGCCCGGACTGTTTGATGGTGTTGAGGCTGTTGTGTATGTCTTGTCTCGTCTCGACAGGACGTAACTCAAGCCTGCCGATCCTCAGGTGCCCCCTGAAGCAGTTATAAAGGTTCATAAAGTCCCGTTTCGTTCTTCTAACTCTCATGCTTTGAGGCATGGCTCTTTCAGGACATAGCTTTGAGTTCTGACTTCTTCCAATGCTGAAGTACTGCTGAAAGGCTCTCCTACTTTTATCTTTTAATTCTATTCACCACGTTCCTTAACACATCCCAACACGGGCACTTTATCATTCAGTGAATTTCCGATATCCTCTTCACCTCCGCCATGCCTTGCGACTCAGCTCACACTGACACTATCCCTAAGGGTGACACTCCACCGTGAGACACACATACTTGATCGTATCATGACTTGAGCTAATAGGCCAACTCCTCAGAAACACAACCGAAACGACGATGTTAGAGCCCTACATTCACGATACATCCTCTCTTCAGGATCGCCTACTGATGAGGTCCATGGCTGAGGATAACAAGGCAACTGGAAATGGGGCCGGTTATTCAGGACCAAAAGGTTCGAAGCTATAAGAGACTCCCATAAGACTCTTTCAAGTACATTGGTCATGAATCAACATACTATATGTTAGTTTGTAAGATTAGTTTGAGTTTTGATCTGTGGACATAAATTCTAGGCAAAATGAACCACCGCCCTTGTTCAAACTACTAAATAACGCGTGCCAGGGGAAGCCTTGCAAGCTGCCAGGCATACGAATGGTCCAAGACACCCTGAACTTATCGACGCTGAAACTGAGCTCTGTGCATACCAAGATGGTATAGCGAGTGGCCTCTATACAGACATACCGAATGAACCAACATCGGTGTCTCGTTATGCTTGGCCCACAACATGGAGTCCCATTGTAGCACTTAAAGTCGAGTTTCAATGCTGTCAGCTTTTAGTCTCAGCCGTAATCTTCCGGCATAGATACCAAATCTTGAAGATATCTGCCTGGTTCTTTCTTGGGGGGTCATGGGAACCAGCTCACCGCTTGCAACCACACGTCTAGACCAGAGCTCAGTTCTAAGGAAGAGACAAGACCATGCGTCTATTTTACGTTTCATGATGTACATTGTTGCACAGATATAATTACACGTTATTCGTACCACCCCTGGCACGCCATCCTCTATCCAATTCTCAACCTCCCATTTTCTGATTTCATTCATTGAGCTGGAGGTGTTGTTGTTGAGGGGGGTATCGAAGTATCTGCAGCCGCCACCTGTGACACACCAGCCTTCTTCTTCTTGAGAGCAGCAGCCTCTTTCCTTTGAGCAAGAATAGCACCAAGCTTCTCCAACATCTCTGGGCTGAGCTCGGGCTCTCCCTCGGCAGCACGCTTTTCGCGCTGCATCTCGTGGAACTCTTGCAGGGGAGTCTGCATAGACTTGATGGACTCCTGTTCGGCTTTCTTTGCTGCTGCCTCGGCCTCCTTCTGCTGCACGTACCACTCCTCGTGGCGTGTTCGGAACTTGGAGAACTTGTTTCGCAACTCGTCGATAACGGTCTCGGGCATTGGAGGAGAAAGGAGGTTGTAGTAAAATGTTCGGTTGTCGACAGTCTCACGGATGGTATCACCATCGAAAGTCTCGAATTCTGGGGCCTCAACCTCGGGCCAGGGGATGACAACATTGATTCCAGGAACAATTCGATCCCACTTGTTTCCGTATTCCCATCGGTCGAAGCTCATGTTGGGGGACTTCATGTTCGGGGGAATAGCCTTAAGCTCGTTGATAATGACGTCTCTTGTGACTCCGGTTTCGGGGTTGGCGATAGGATAGACGAGACGAATAGAACCAATCGAGAGGGGCATGGGCTGAGAACGACTGTCGTTTCCAAACATACCAGCAGAGATAGCCTAAGAACCATTAGTGCCTACTCAAACCTCGCAAGGCATGGTGCTTACCCGGTGGTAGTTCTCGAGAGTAACATATCCTCCTTGAGGATTGATCGTCTTGATGCGATCAATCTTGCCCTTGTCTGGTCCATCCATGATAACCACACGGTCTGAAATAGCAAGGTTAAGCTGCTTCAGACCACCAGCCCAAGCACATCTCTTAGCCAGAACCTCAGGCCTTGGTCGGTAAAGACCATAGTTGGACCAATCCGTTCGTACACCCTCCGAAAACATGCCATAACCATTGAAGCCCAGATCCCGCTTGGGAGCAATAGGGCCCAGCGCCCAGTCCTCCTGTCTCACCCTGCGCGCATCCTGCAGATTCTGTCGGACCTCAGAGACAGCCGCTCGCATGGCTTGTCGGTTTCGAAGCTTGTAGTTGTTCTCTTCAGATTTGGCGGCTTTTTGGGCTCGTCGGCCAGCCTGGCGCTGGGCCTGGGCGACCCGCTTGGCGAGCTTCTGCATGGCAGAGAATGAGCTGCGGGGATTGATCGAGGGAGTTGGCAGGCTCTAGCAGCTCATTGAGCGGACAGAAGCTGTTGGCGTCGAATTGTCGCTGGGCGTTACGATAATTCGTTGTGGAGTGCGTGGTTGAGCTGGAAATTCTCTACGTCCAACGGCATTAGCCGCAGTAGTGTGGGTGCGGATAATGGCCAAGCACTGTACCCCGCACTATGCTCATGATAGCTTCATGTTGTATTATTGTAAGTGTGATGTCCGGCTGCAATTCTTTTTTAGATGCCTCTCGCTTCTACTTCTGACGAGATATAAGGTCCCCCCCATTTTTTTATGCGATTTCAACACAAAGGCAGATCTCTCATGTTCAACCAAAGCAGTCTACTTCCACTCAACTTGTGATAATCATGCTTGATCAGGCACAGAGATCTCAGTGACTCTTTCTATGAATATTCCACTATTCCAGTTCTTATGATCCCGCGACTCTATGTTATGGCAATAATCGTTTTTCTTTGCTCATGCAGCCTCTATTGAAACCGTTCTGGGACGAGAATCATGCAGGTATGACAGAATGACTTGCTAATCCAGTATCACCCCGAATAACAACGAAGTATTAATATATCATACATGAGCTCACATATTGATCAATCATCAAGGCTGGGGTTGCATTGCCGCTGAGAGGCCTCTAAGGATGACCTTCAAGATCAGCACGCATTTGGCGGTCAGAATCACGAATGTGACAGACACGATCAAAAGGTTCTGGCCCCAGGGAGCGAGAAAATCCAAGACTTTAGAAGACAAACCCATCAAAGAACGACCTAAGTTTAGACTAACTTATCTAAATATTCTGCCACTTATGGTTGAGAGCTGCAGCTTTCGTGCCTCTAGACTGGATATACAGATGTCCAGGTATCATGACTGACCATAATCATCCGTGATACATATCCCGTCAATCAGGGTCCTTGAGGCTTGATCAGGGGAGGAGGTTGGATGAAAGTCCTACGCTGGCCTAAAAGCGTAGGACTTTTCTGTCCACTGTAAGCTCTTATTACTGGCCATTCAGTCGCCCTAGGCTTTTGGCTTTGGCACGCGGAGGCGGGATGGCACAGGGCGCATTGCATGACGGACCAGGGGTTAGAAGCTTGTGCCAGCTTCACATCTCTTTGCATAGATTGTCTTGTGAAGACACCTTTGGCGGTGATTGATGACGCGGAAACACATGAGGATGTGTTAGCGATGGAGGTAGAGAGGAGTCAAAGCAGGAGACAGAAGCATTATCCACTTCCCGATAGTACCTCATCAGCCGGAAATCAAGGTCATCAACTTCAAACATCTATCAAAAATTTAAAATGGGTGCTATCTTTATGCCATCCACATCAGTTCGAACAGCCGTTGGCGATAGCCACCAGATCCCAGCTGGAAATCACAGAAAGGCAGATCTAGGCAGTCAACAAGAAGGCTTTCCAATGCTTCCCATTAAAGACAGGTTCAATCACGGACCTCTAAGGCTGATGATGGCTGGTTGATTAGCCTCATCCTCTTCAAATGATAGACACCGAGCCACGGTTTCAGCCTCGGCGCTATGGAGCCTAAAGTGTTCCATCGTGTGTGTCTAGATGGGATGATAGTGAAGCACCTAGAGCACCAAGCAACTTAAAGCCAAAAGCTACACCGCAGCAGGACAGTTTGATGGGCCAAGGACTGGCTGGTGAGCACGTCAGACCGATAGGAATTGTGCAGGAGGATGGCCGATAGACTGGCGAAGAGTCAGAAAGAGTAGCTACCTTGGTCACTTGTGAAGAATGACAACATTAGTAGGTACCTACCTACTCCGTACAGTACAGCTCAAAGAAGCCATCTTTGCAATTTGCAGCTCATTCTCATTGACCGTCAGTCCGTCAATCAAACTAAACCGGCTTGACCAAACGGCCGACGCCGTTACCCTGGCCCTTGATATTGTCTGTCGTCCAATGTCATCGACCAGTTCATCAAGCAGGCCGGCTCTTATCTCATCTCGTCATCATTATCACTGGCATTGTCTGTTTCAAACTCCCGTAAATGGTCAACGACGCAACACAACGCAACCACCGCATGTAAGCAAAGCAAAGCAAAGCAACCAAGCGACCTACCAAATAACAACGGGCCTCCCGCACATCTATCCATCCAATCTGTCCCGTCTTGCATCTACCACTGAAAGTTTGGCGGAGCACTCTCGGTAAGATGGATAAACTGGGTCAGTTAATTCCCCTCCTGGGACATAACTTAGCAGAGGGAGGCTTGTGACGCGCACTGCCCAAAACCTTTCGCACTGTGACCAGACTCCACTAATCACTCACTGAAAAGGAGACGGTGTTAGCGGTTGTTGCCACCCACCAGCCGAAGCCAGGGCCACGCCGTTGGTTGCCTCAGGATGAACCCTTTCCGCGTAATGCGATGGAGCCGAAGTACCGTTTATATAGGAATATCGGTGAAAGTGTACCTTGGCCAAATGAGTGTTTCTTTTTTGAGCCCAGCCCAGTCCGGGCCCCAGCAGCTCGCAGCCCCAGCAACAGACAGGAGGGAAACAACAAAGCTTGCAGCCTTGTCAATCCCTGGTTGAAGATGGATGTGATGCGATGTTCAGGAGGCTTATCTACGCGGACGGCTGTCGACACCTTCAATATGATAGTTCAAATAAGTACAAAGGATATATGACAAGCTAGAGGCATATAGCATTAGCCAAGTGAATCAACCTCCAAACTTGGTTCTGATTCAAAGCCGAAACCTACTTTCAGCTGTCATTGTCTGCTCTAAGCCCTTAGATACCTACCTAGGGAGGCTATCAAAACACAGTGCGGTTTGCAAGCGCCTTACTTGTCCTCAACTCAACAACCCTGCCCAACCCCCAGCATCACCGGCACCAAGACTTCTGACACTGGCACTTGGTACTTCGATTCCAGCACTCTTCACGCTCTATTCAGAGGTACCTCTGGTCCTTTGAACTGCCCTGGCTGCCTGCTGTCCTGTGCTTGCCCACCTGCTGTTGGGTCCTATCCTGTCCTGGCGCCCGCCCCGGGCTGTCGCTCCAGTGCTTGCAGTGCAGTCGGGCCCCCAGTCCTAGCGAGAAAAAAACCAAGCCCAAGCCTATTTCACCCAAGAAACCAAAGCCCCTTCTTCTTCCTCGCGTCTCTTTTCTGGCTGAGGTGCTCGCTCTCTCTTTCTACTGCCAGTCCCAACCTGACCTAACCCAACTCATAACTCTCCTCTTTCTCTATCCATCCATCTCCCATCCCCATCGACCCGCAGCCGCCGCTCTCCGCGAAACTCACAACCTGCACCATCTCCCAAGCTCAAGCTCAAGCTCGCATTTCACGCCAGCAACTTCGTCCATTTCTCTCAAAGTTTTAACCACAAACCACATCTAATCAATAACCATGGCTGAGATCCGCCGAAAGCTCGTCATTGTCGGCGATGGTGCTTGTGGTAAAACCTGTTTGTTGATGTGAGTTGGCCTTCTATCACGACACGACACGACTTGAATGTCGACCTCCCGTCGCCCATCACGCTCCTATCCATCACCACGTTGGCATCACAATGTCTATCAGACGGAGTCTCAAGAAGAGGGCAATACGATAGTTCTTGGCCTCTTGGACGTTCCAGCGCTTCACATCGCTTGACGCCATCAGCTCTATCGTTACCGTGATAGACGCACATCCCCCTTGCTTCACCTCACCGTCCTCCGTCGCCGTTTCCATTACCATCATCGCTATCATTATTCTAAAGCCACTTGATCAACACAATGCTAACCAATCCTTCAGTGTTTTCTCCAAGGGCACTTTCCCCGAGGTAAGAATTGACTTTATTGCGGCTTTGCCCTTCAACCTTCGCACGCTTAGCCACGCGGCTTGATAAACAGCCTTATCATGCAACGGGCTTCACCACAACAACCTTGTTGCTGACAATTCCGTCTTCAGGTCTACGTCCCCACCGTTTTCGAGAACTACGTCGCCGATGTCGAGGTCGATGGCAAGCACGTCGAGCTCGCCCTATGGGATACTGCTGGTCAGGAGGATTACGACCGTCTTCGACCCCTGTCCTACCCCGACTCCCACGTTATCCTGATCTGCTTCGCTGTTGACTCTCCCGACTCTCTTGACAACGTCCAGGAGAAGGTTTGTTTGCCCTCCGGTGCCAGATGGCTGGACGCCAGTTGCTTTTCATACAGTTTTGCTGACACGTGCTCTTACAGTGGATCTCTGAGGTCCTGCACTTCTGCCAAGGTCTCCCTATCATTCTCGTCGGCTGCAAGAAGGATTTGCGATACGACCAGAAGACCATCGAGGAGCTCCGAAAGACCAGCCAGAAGCCTGTCTCCCCCGAGGAGGTACGAGACACTGCCCCAACAAGCGCCAAATCAAGCTCTCGAAACTTGATTGGCCAGCTTGCTGCACGTCATGTTGAAACATGCTAACAGTTATCAATAGGGTGAGGAGGTTCGCAAGAAGATCGCTGCCTATAAGTACCTTGAGTGCTCAGCCAAGACCAACGAGGGCGTCCGCGAGGTGTTTGAGCACGCTACTCGCGCTGCTCTGCTGTCGCGAAGCACCCGTGGTAGCAAGCACAAGAAGTGCCTTGTTCTGTAAAGGGCGCTATGGAAGCCCTCTGAGCGCAGTCCACGCACGCGTGCCGTGGCTTGACCCTGCGCTGTAATCCTTTGTCGTTCCAGTTCAACCTCAACTTGGCCCCGGCAGTTCGGATACGGGTTCGTGGCAGCCAAGAAGAAGAAGGCTGTCGGCATGCATCGGTTTTCTCGGAATCTGGAGTTTGATATCGTCTCGCTCATGTCTGGTCCATCGGCCTACGCGCCGACCCTTCTCGCTGGATTGATGGTTTTCTTGTCGGCAGAGCCCATGGTTTCTTGGACCTCCTGAATCTCGCAGGCGGTTACTTTTCCCGGCAGATACCTCGTCTTTTTTATTATCACCACTGGCATGCGAGCGGGACCTTTGTTTTATGTATGTGCTTGTCGCGCATGGGGGAGGTGGGCCAGATGTCTTTTTTCTTGTGGGGGGGGCTGTTGAGGAGGGGGATGAGGAGTGGCTCTCGTTCCTTGCTCTCCTGCCAGGTCTGTCGGTCACTGCAGACTGACGGATGAGGAACTATCAGGGAGAAGTGTCAGGAGGCCGGGAGAGGCTCCGTGGGCTGGTAGCGGCGAGAGCGTTTGTGTCTGCTTGTGTGTGGATATGGGGTCCGGCTGGGGGAACCAAGTCGGTCCAGGCCATAAATCTTTTCGTTTTTTCTCTTGAAGCCTCGAGACCGTTACTTAGACCATGGAGATGGGACATCTATTGCGTAGGGCCTGCCTGTTTAATCTCTTGATTTTTTGTATATCCTGTCTATCTGTTTTTGTGATGTTATTGTACCTACAGTATGCTCTTGAACGACGTGACCATCCCTATCTAAGGACCTATCTAGACCTACCTAGCCTGTCTTGTTTGTATATTGTTATGCATTGACATGTCATGTTACACTACTTGTGACTGACTGTCATTCCTCAACCAACTTGAACCAAGATGCTTATCCGTCTTGGTATGCGTATCGTGACTGGTCTTATCAAAGACAGCCTCCTTGTCCACGTGCCAATGTCTAGTCATGTGGCCCCCATCCCATGCTAGACTCTTTGATCGGCACCGAGCCTATTTTGGTTTGGGTGATACCAGTGATGTAATCCCATCAATCACTTGCTGTGAGAGTGAGGCAGTCGGTATGTTCAGCTATGCGAGCGCGTCGCAGCCTTAAGAGGGACACTCCACGATGGACACACACGAATATGAGGTGAATATCAGTCTTGTTTCCTCACTGTCTAGATACAACAAATGAGCGAGCGAGCGTATCCTCTGCTTCACAATACCACCCAATGCATGCACGAATGAATATCAACCACCCAAGAAAAGAGTGACGCTATCGAACAGCGGCCTCATCACAGCAACCACCCAAACCCCCAACCACACTCCATTGTATGCATCCCTGACCTAGCCTAACACCGGTATAAACAACTTCTCGTCCGTCTCATCATTTCATCGTGAATCTGTCTCTTGGTCTTTGTGGCGTTTAGACGGGGCAGTGCTAGAAGCAGTCAGCATCATGTCAGATAGAGACGAGAGGGCGAGTATTAGACATACAGCACCACAGCTACCGCAAGTCTTGCCGGCGCCCTCGATGGCGGCGTTGCACTTGGGGCAAGTGTTGTCGTGGTAGTCAACAAGAGGCTGCATCTTGACTGATTGATGTATGAGGAGTATGTGTTGAGAACAGAAAGAAGTGATCAAGTTTTGCTATAGAGAGAGAGAGAGGGAGCACTGAAGAGGGGACCACAGAAAGAGGGGAAAGGCAACCCAATATATAACCAACCGTCAACCTCAAACAAATCATTCCCGTCCTCTCTCACACGAGATTTACGTATGTTTCTCTATCCCAAAGCGGGGTTCGTTAATTGTAAGCGCAAATAGCGGGCTTCTGCTTTGTTTTACCCCCTCCTACTATTCGTTGCGTGTGACACCCCTCTCCTTGTGCTTGTGCTTGTGCTTGTGCCTGTAGCTTCACTTTCTCTATGTGATCCACTTGCTGTGAGGTACGGCCGTAACGTGGCACACTGTATGGATGCCGACTTGTTTTGGAGAAGAGATAGTGGAAGTCATGTTGCGTTATCCCGCGGAGGTTGAAGGTTGTGTTGGAGATGGGTGGGGAATGGAGCATCGTGTGAGGAACAGGTCATAATAGCTTCAGCGGTGTATGAAGCAAGCTGTTCTTGCAATATGGATATTGAGAATACACAGGGTCTGGAAGAATAGCTTCTCTGAAATGTATTATCGTCCAGAAGTATTGGCTTTGACATGTTGGTCAAAGTATGATGACTACATCGCCAGGTATCATAGCTTCACCTCACCCATAAGCAGAGATAAGAAGAGCAATAAGAATACGAGTTCATCTACCGAAGAACTGAAAACTCTATAATGATTGATATATCGATATCACGCCATGCAACTCCTCGCACAGTCCAGTGTACACGGTACATGGTTTTCTTTGATCTTATTTGATAAATTTCCAACCAAATCATCCGCCTTTTTTACATGACTTATATATCTCAAGCAGCGATACTCCCTGCAGTCACGCATCTTGCCTTCATGCGTACTATCTTACACGCTTGTTGTCCCGGTAAGGGTCTATGTCTGTTGTGCTTCGTTATGCTATAATGTTGTTTTAATAAAAGTGAAAAAGGTAAAGGTAAGAAACGCCTGGTACTTATACGCACTGCGCCGGTCCATCTTTGCCTGTGTAGTGTCAGTACATGTTCCAAGGTCCAATGGTCGAATACCCAGATCTTCATAGGGCACACGGGGGAACTCACTGTTGATCATCTTCTGCACAGCCTGGATCACACTAATGACCATGACAATCATGCCAAACACGACCACTGCACCCGCCATATATGTCCGCCAGCTTCTTGTTGTCAACTTCATATAGCACAACGGAGGCAAGATGTAAGCCATGGCCACAGCACTCGTGGCTCCAACCAGCTCAAACACAGCACCAAGATCACAAGTCACCAAACTTAGGACCAGAGCTGACGCAACAAGACTCGTACTGAAGAGGAGATGGCGATTCATGTTGAAGGGCTCGTCGGGGAAGAAGTATGTCAACATCACTTCACGACAAACAAATGCCTCCAGGGGCAAGGTGGTGAGCATATTGAGGCCAAAGCAAAGGCGTGCAATGTTGACCATGGTGTTGTCTGCTGGAAAGTTGTTGAGAACATTGCCCAATGTCTTGTCACCAAAAGTAAGGAAACCGCCCAGAGCAAGGACAAGACAGAAAACCATCGATATACCAGTTGAGTAGTGAGTGACTCGGGAAAAGTTATCAATGGTAGGTGTCTTGAGAGATCCGTAGATCAGGAGCGAGTTGTGATGGCAAACGAAAGCTACATAGGTCAGCAACTCTGGTCATAAACTCAGATTATCAGAATAGGTCCTTACCGAACGAAATAACGCCAATGGCCTGGAAAAATCCGCCATTGAAGAGGAGGAGTGAAGGAGTAAACGAGCCCCTTTCTGACGAGGGCGTCAGGATACCTTGTATAAGGATGGTGAGAACAATAACCACCATACCAACAAGCGCAAACGTGCTTGCCTTGGCCAGCTACCCAAATTCCATTAGCCCAGATTCTAATAAGACGATCCGCAATGTAATTTTCACCTTTGAAATATCCCGATACAGCGTAAGGGGATACGCAATGCCCATCACAAACACCGCGATAGCGACCTGTCGATTTGCCAAGAGTCCTATTACAGGCACATTCGATAAGTTTGGCCACACAGCGACCAGAACATGAGGAATCGTATCGCCTACAATGACACCATATGCGACCATCCCGCCAAACGCAAAGACCCATTGCGCAACGCTGATAGCGATCAGCCCAGAGTGTCCAAAGCAGTGCTCAACTGTTCCTTGAAAATGACTCGTGCCGCTGAGCTTGCTGTTGATGACAATAAGACAGATCGTCCAGTCGACAACAACCGTCAACCCTACCAGCAGTAGGATGCCTCCGACCAGTCCGGCTTGGCGCACAGCGTATGGTTGTCCAATGATGCCTGCACCGATGATGGAGTTCGCCATGTTCATAAAGGCTGATTTGAGCCCTGACTTTGGTCGATTCATCTCATGCTCAGCTTGTTCCGACGGATCCCCCATCGAGTTCGCAAGAGCAACACTAGGCGCTTCAATGTTCGTCAACAGCGGCACACGATGCGCCCGCCCCGGACTCGTCGCCTCCTCGACATCAAAGTACGCATCATCTGAGGACCGTCTCTCACGATCCGCAAGCCCGCCAAAAGCTTGTCCATTGCTAACGCCCACGATCTCCGGCGTCAAGTCGAAGCGCACGCGGCTGGGAGTCCGGGGCTGACCATCAGCTTCAACTTTGCCTGAAGCCTTCCCCAAATCTGCGCTGGCATTTCCGCTGCTATAATCGTCATCGCCCACACCAAAATAGTCGTCGTCGTAATCGTGCCCGTGTTCTAAGAGGCCGCGGTCTTCGCCGTGCGGGTTCGGGGGGCCATCGTTCCTGGCGTGCGTCATTGTCGAAGGGGAGTAGCAAGTTGGTATTGCGTGTACATTTTCCCCCGGAAGAGTAAAGGATTATGTTCGAGTCGCTTGCGTATATGCCAAAAGGAAGAAATAATCAAATAATTAGTGTAAAAGATTGACGGCGAAGCAAAAGGATAGAAAGTCGAATGGTTGTAAGTTGTAAATGGAAAGGTCCTATTCCAAGGATAGGCCGGTTGGTTAGGTTGTCTGTCCTTCCCCCAGATAAGCATGGATAGCAAACATTAGCGTCATTTGCAGCATGATAGGCGCTAGGATGGGCGTAATGCCCCTTGTGAAATCGCTGGAATCGCCCGCTAGTTGTGTCTAGGCTTATGCAGGGGTACGGATCATTCCAAGAGTATTGAAGAGAGAGGTGTTAATAAAGGGCGAGGCTTCTATTGAGAAGGTTTGTTTGTTGTTCAAGAAACAATTGAACAGTTACATTATGAAATATCCTTTTTTGAGGCATAACGCCATCTCGCCGTTGCTGATCGTGCCTCAAACCTACCTAACTCCAAGACCCTGTGGATTCCAGGGACTCAAAAATAGGGGTTCAATTTACACTCTCCTTTTCAACGGCCACATTCAAGGGGCGTTCACCAAAACCTTACAAACTATCGTCTGAGTATGAGAATGAGCTATAATTGTGCACTCAAGCATACTCTAATATTCAACAATCTACTTATTCGCCGTGGTACCATCAGAAAGCAATTCATTCCATCCAATGTTTCTATTCATGGTGATGGTCTATGTCTACTTAAAAAATACTTGTAGCATGGCTTCATCTGCCATCTGTAGGAACCCGTCATGTTCTCCTCTGTTCGATCGGGTATCATTGTAGCTCGAACCACATCTTGTCTTCCCATGCTGTGAGCTCCCTGTGCTCGTATTCCCTCACACGATATCTTCGTGTTCTATGAAGCTCTCAATGTATGTATACGCGCTTCTCTGCGCTTCTAACGATTGTATCCGGGTATTAAAAAGAATGTAGTGCCGCTCATCTGACTCTTTCTAAGCCAGGAGGGCGAAAAATGGTACTATACAGAAAATGAATGTGAAGCGGGCTTGTGATAGTGGCCCTGAAGGTGCTGATGAGTCTTTTGTTTCGGTAGGTTCGCTTGAATCAGAAGTGGCAGTGCCAGATGAGACAGATTCTTTGCCTAGACCCATGTCTGGCACTGCACTTGCCTTTGATCCAGAGGTTGTTGTGATGCCAGTCTCTTCGGTCTCGTCAGACGTCTTGGTCGCTTGGCTGGTGGTCATGGTCTTTGTTGAAGAGCTGCTGTCTTCATTGTCGGCGCTTGAGCCATCTGTGATAGCGTTGGTAGCAAAGCCTGTTCTCATTAGCACAAGTTGTTCATTACTTCGGCATATCAACTTACCAATTCGGCGCTCGTCCGCATCAAAAACGGCGTAGACGTTCTTGATAAAGGTGTCGCCCAATAACCATGCGCCTTTAACAACCTCGAAACCATAGACGTTGCTGGTGCATTTGCCATCCTTGTTGGGGGGAGAAACCCAGTCCTTTGGTGAGATGACATAGTCGACTCCAGAGAAAGTCACGGTTAAGTTGCCGTTGCTGTCGCAAGGAACAGTATATGTGGTGCCATCGCTGCTCTGGGCTCCGTCGATCAGAGCATGGAGCTTCTTGACGTTGTCCTGTGATCCAAACATGAAAGATGTTCCAGTGTCGATGAAGCTGCGGATGCCGCCGATATCTGCCTTCTTGCCGTTGTAGCCCATGTCGTCAATCTCAATGGCCCAGTCATTGTCTTCGCCGATGGAAGTATACGTGATCTTGCCGGAATACTTGTCAGGATTCGGTGATCCAAAGCTGATTTCTCCTTCGTTTGTACCGTCAGCTGCACGGTTCAGAGCAACGCAAAACATGTTCTTTTCGACTTCCTTGGACTTGGCCAAGGCATTGAGAAAGTTGCTGTCGGATCCTTTGTTAATGGCAAGACCAAGGATGCCGTCAAAAGCGAATTCGATGAACTGGTCCGAGGTCGTGTGCGTCAATCCGAACTGATACTTGATGCTCATGCCAGCCACAGTGATTGTGTCGGTTGCCCAGGTACCAGAGACCTTTCCAGAGCCGTATGCAATGTTAAAGTCGGATTTCGATACTTCGAGTGAGTCCGAATCGCCTTCGCCGAATGTGTTGTGCATCTCACACGCTTTGCTGGTACAAGAAGTGCCCATAACCCAACTTGACCCAGCACCAGTGTCGATAAGCATGTACATTGTCTTCTTTTCCGATCCAATCTCGACCTCGATGAAGTATGAATAGTCAGTTCCGTCCTGGTCAACACCCTGAGTGTGCTTCTTTGTCGATTCTGTGGCCTCCATGACATCGTATTTGTTATCACGCTTGAGCAGCGTACTGGTGTCAGGGATGCTTCCTCCGGCATATTTGGCGATCAATCGTGCTGCTTCGTGGGCTGCTCTCTCAGTTATCGGTTGGCTGGACTGTAGTTGAACGGTCAATGGAATGAAACTGTCAAGCAATTCTCCAGAAACAAACCTGAGGTGATCTTTGCTTGATATCCATACGCACACCACCACCATTGCCCACACTCTTCGGACTTCGAGCCATACGCTTTTGTCCTACATCGACACGCCAGCTCGGACTATAGGGGAAGAAGGCATGGGCAGATGAGGCCAAGGCCAATTGCGCCAATAGAGATCCTGGGCGCATATTGAAGCTATACTGAGTCAATTCAACCAAACCTCCCTGGCGCGTACAGAAGAATATGCACTTGGAGGTGGTTGATTGGCTTGTATTGAACAAAAACGGAGTGAGACCAGAGTCAAAGCTAATTGGAACAGCTTGTCTCAAACGCGTCCAGACAGGAAGACAGAATCGAGGCGAGGCCTCTTGAGCCAGAGTTGGCGAGATGTATTAAAGGATTAGAATTACGAGCCCAGCATTGGAAACGAAACGGCACAGCAAAGTTGCCGACTGATAACCAGAACCTGGTGCAAGTTGGACAAGCGAAGATGCAACAAACACAAGCCAGACACAATGGAAGTGGCTTGGTAACAGTGAGACCAATTCGAGTCTCTCTTTTTCTGGAACAGGGCGTTGAGGTTTCTCGGAAGTCGGAGTACTCGGCTTGAGGTCCTGACCTGGATCGGGACGAGAGACAAAGAGGAACAACAAAGAAAGGTGCAAATACAAATACGAGAAATGGAAATAAACAGAAAAGGAACAAAGCTGAGAGAAGACGGAGGAGGGAGGGTATTATTACGAATTAAGGTAAGGTAGAGTAGAGTACAGCATAGAAAAAGAGGTCGAGAGAGAGGTCGAGGTGAGTGAGTGGAGTTCGGAGGGATAGAGAATGACGGGAAGAGGTGGGTTAGGCTGGTTAGTCTTTGGTATGGGGAGATAGCTGCCCACTGTACAGCTAGTGGAGAGCAGAGAACACAGCACCCGGCGAGGTTGTAGCGAATTCGAGACATGGAACCTACGCACTAGATACAGGGGATAGAAAGTGACCTGAAGGTGCTGTACCTGCTGAAGATATCGTCCCAAAGAGGCAGGCGAACGGAAGGGATAAGAGTTGTCAGAAGAGACACATCATATTGCTATCACATCACAGTATGATACCAGCGTTATATCCACGATACGAAGACCACAGAACCCTTCAGTCTTTGACCAAAGTTTCTCTCTCATCTCTCACAACTTGGTTTGATTCTAGATCCAAAGCCAAGCTAAGTAGACCCCATTGATTGGACATTAGTTATCTTGGCTCGACGATCAGCAAGGTCCAGTACCTGTAGATCAGGTATCTCATCATCTCACGAACGGACTGAATCAACCGTCAAACACGACGGGACCTGCAAACAACAAAGAGGACTGCCGCCCGTAAAACCTTCTCCACCACATGCCATGCCATGCCATGCCAGCTTGGGTCGATGTGCTACGGATCAGAGTGCATCGCTGCTCATCACTGGACACCCACGCAACGTTCATCTGTAAGGTTCAGGGGTCGTCAGCCTCTAAATGGCCCGTTACTCTTAGCCGCTTGTTTATTACGGTGGACTCGAGCTGTGGAGATTACTCTACCCTGCCTTGTCTACTTGCGCCCCATGCTACCTCGATATCGGCCGAAAATCCGTATGCTTGTCCTCTTCTTGCCTGGTGCTACTTCATCATCTCGTATACCAAATACGTACCAAAAAGATAGCGACCTTGGTACCTAAAAATTGAATGCAGAGTGCTGCTTTCGTTCAGTGAGAAACTCCCCGAGACAAGGTCTAACGCCGAGTTTCTGTGCCCCTGAGGACTGACGGATAAGTTAACGTGCAGCACTCCAGCTGATGCTTTGGGTTAGACTTCTCACCCCAAGCCAAGATCTGCACAAAGTGGCACACACGAGATGTGCTGCAACGCAACGTGGAGCAAGCGGCAAAAGGGAAAAAACAAGCTTCAGCCGGATTGACTCAGGCGTTTTCAACTGTCAATGGTGAAAACGAAACACGCGTTCTGTGGAAACCAGGAGCAATATTGTGGTGCCCTTGCCTGAAGCTGATATTCAAGGTATTGGCTATGGCGTATGAAGAACATAGCCTGGTTGGGGAATTGAATCCCAACAGCCATTCGATTTTGGAAGTCTTGGCCATATCTAACCTTATCATAACGTTAAAATGCAGAGTTTCATCAACCAGACCGTTACAGCCATGTAACCAAATTCCAATTCCGTACTGATATTTAATGGCCAAGAAGTTTAAAGCTTGATGCCCTGGCGTCAAGCTGACACACCAAAGTCCCCTTGGGCTTGCATCTCTTGACTCGACATCATTAGGTCGCCAAGTTCAAGTTGTTGTTTTCTCAATTGACTTGCAGTAGCGTTTTGTCTCCTTACCTTACGCGTCAAACACAACGGCGCCACTCTACCGGTCAGCGTCAGCTTTACCAAACAACTTCCCCTGACTACTGTGATGTGTGAGCCTCAAAACGCTCAGCTCGCTCCAGTTTTCTTCTAGATCGTTTTGGTGATTGTCAGGCGCTTCTTGTGCAGACTACGTGGCGGTAAAGCTGACAATTTGACGCTTGATCAGTGTCTAGATTGACCACAATGCAGAGAGTATTCCAATTTGCTGATTCATTGAGCTGGAACCCCAGGTATCACGAGTCTTTTGAGCCTTCGAGGTCGGGTCATCGGCCGTCTGGCTTCTTCTCCACGTGTGCATGGATTCTCGGATACGTTCCTATCCCTGTTGCCCTGTATTCACATGAAAACATCAACATTTCAACGTTATTGACTCCGTTTCAGGCTGGATCCTTCTTGAGTAATGGCAATGCAAAAACATATCGTATTCTCAAACCTATTTACGTGAAATTTGTTTCCTTTTGAATGTTTACTCTCTAAAGCTCACGCATGACAGCCTCATCCCTGACACGAGCAATGTCCAGCTCCCATCGTCGTGCAAAGTCAGCCATTGTTCTTGGCTGCAAACAAGCTGAGGATAACAATATCCTCTGTTTATCTTTTTGGACAAATGTATCATTCCAATGGTAAGGACATACACACTCTACGTTGCAATCTACAATACAACATCTCATTGGCTTCCAAGCCTTCTCACATTGGTGCCAAGCTCTCCAATTTCACTAAGATTCCAGTATGGATTCGATGGATCGTTTCTTGCTGCACACACTTATATGACTTCGTCACTAATTCAGAATGCCTAGACACAATTGGATAACTTCATGGTCTAGAAAATCCCTTGTCAAATGACCCCGTTGATGAAACAACCGCACGGCGCCGTCAATGCCTCTCGGAATTTTAATCCCGACCCCGGCACCACTATCTGCTCGGATCTTGTCGATCAGGGTAGACCTCAATTTGAATTCATATTGCAGCTTTTAGCCATACTTGCATTCAGCTGTGATAGGCCACTAGCCGCGGGCCTCTCAGGGTTCAATATTTCACCGTCAAAGGACGGCAGATCTTCATTTAGATAAGGATCGCCACTGTACCTAAGTGCTATCCAGCGTCTGTGCTCCAGTTGAGACCGTATTGTTTCTATTTCCGATGTCTATTCCCATGTTTCATAGTCGCATACTACCCGAAAGACACCGTGAGGCAACCCATGAATGAGTTTCGGTTTCAGCCCGGGTCCTCAAGTCCAGTTCCTTGTTTGCGAAGTCGCCAACGATCATTGACTAGCCATGAGCCACTGCTCTGCTCTTTCAAGCGTCTTCTTCTCAATACTGTCCTTAGACGCGGTCTCCCAGAGTGTCTTTCGCAGACTTTCAAACTCGTCTTTGTCAGAGTTTGTAACTCCCCGAGCAGTCACAAGCCGAAGGAAGTACCACACAGATTCATTCCCCCACTTGAACGAGGCTGCGAGTTTCAATGTCTCGCGAAACACAGGCGATGTTTCGGCAGGTTGCTTGTCTAGCAGGAACAGAAGAAATTGCCAGCCAGATATGTCATTGTGATGGGCAAAGCACCACTTTTGCGTAGCGATGATGATGCGTGATATTCCCTTTTGTGAACTTGAGGATGATAGGATAAAGGTATTTACCAGGTATCTAGCGTGACACCAGGCATAGTAATTTCGTGGATGTCTTTCTCCAGATATCATGATGGTTCTTGTGAGGCCATCCTCGGCTTTAACCTCGATATTGTGAAGACGATATTGCTCCATCAGCCATCGGCGATGATTCCATAGCGTTGGTGACTTCGTATGTCGATGAAGCCGACTGGTCAGTAAACTATCAATCAGATGTTTCTCGAGATGTAGTCTGTATTGCAGGTCTTCTTCTCTCCACTTGTCTCTGATGAGTCGTTTTCTTGTATTGGCAGCTGTTAGGTGCTCTGGGTCCATCAACAGAATAACTGCAGTTGACCTTGAAATGTCTCCTGACGATACCCGCTGGTTATAGGCCTGGGACTGTTTAAGAAGCTTCTGTGCCACTATAAACGCCTGCACGAGGCGTAACTTTGGTATGGCCACTGCATTCTCGTCTCGCAAGATTGATGTGTGGGCATCGACGACGTGGCTTTTACCCAACAACTCGATCTCTAAAAGCTCATTTGAAGGCTCAATAAGAACATTTGAGATTTCTAGAAATACCGAATGATGATCTCCATGTCTGAGAGATTCCTTGAGACTCTTGTCGAGTGCTCGTGACATTGGAATGATCGAGGAAAGAAAGTGAGTTGAAAGTATAGGGTAGGTATGAGACAACCGACGTGGTGTGGAGGGGGTTTGATGGAGTTCCATGCAAGTGTCGGGGTTATGACATGGCTTGACCACGTTTAACAAACCACCAAAATCAACATCACCATCAACTTCACGAGCTCAGACCCAAACCGGTCCAGGACCGAATACACAGTGTTCAAGTTGGAAGCCTATCACCTGTTGCTGCTGATACACTTGGACCTCTAAGATGGCCTCCCTTATGCTCAGCATCTTCGTTGTCGAAGTTGTCGTCAACCTCGTCAATACCATTGGAGCCGCCGCAATCAACAACTTGGTATACTACCCAACCCAGACCGTGTTCTCTAGCTCAGCTACTAACCCAAAAAGCTCTGGACAATAATCAACTTCCTCCCCGTATCGACAGCAAAGGCTGCAGGCGAACAACGCAAGCTCCAGACCGATTACCTCAAGGTCCGACGAGATCTGAACTCCACGAGTAGTCAGGATGAATTTGCCAAGTGGGCAAAGCTCCGTCGTCAGCAC